AACACACACACATACTTAGCGTTTTGTTTATAGTAGGACCAGTCGCCTCGCCGGCTGACGCCGGCGCGGCTACTTCTGATACGGCCCGGCTGCGCCGGGCGGGCGCGGCTTTGCCGCGCGTACCTTCTCTCACATATTTCTAGACTCAACTGATATCCGTCTTTTGCTCTGTACTCCACTTTTCTCCAGTTACAGATTCTTCGTCTGACTCCGCCCACCTCAGAGCAGACCCCGTCCACAATTTTTGTGCCCCGCACTATTCACCGGCGACCCCCTGCTGACTTTAATCCACTTTTTTTCCGGTCTGAAGTGTTCTAGAACCGTTCTGCAGAGTTTTTGTCTTTCTCCGCCCACCTCGAAACAGGCTCCGCCCCCAATTTTCGTGCCGCAGAGTTTTAGAGAATTTTTGTCTTTCTCCGCCCACCTCGAAACCGGCTCCGCCCCCAATTTTCGTGCCGCAGAGTTTTAGAGAATTTTTGTCTGGCTCCGCCCAACTCGGGCTGGCCCCCCCCCACAACATGTATACCCCACATTTCTTAATCGGCGACCCCTTGCTGGCCTGAATTCACTTTATTCCGGTCTTCAGAGTGCTCTGGAACCGTCCAGACCTTTTTGTTTGGCTCCGCCCACAATGTTTTTGCCCCAGAGTCCTCACAGGCGAACCTTTGCCGACCTTGACGCACGTTTTTCCGGTCTTTGCAGTGCTCTGGAACCGAGCTACAAACTTTCAAAGTGAGTATCCTGCGGTTTAGGGCAAGCTCCGCCCACTGTGGGCGGGGCACAACACATTTTGAGCGTGCCCAATACTCGCCAGATATTTACATTCTGCACTGAGCTTTTTGCGGCTTCTGAACACTCGCGAACCGAGTTACTGAGTTTTATGCGAAGCACCGCCCACCTTGAGTACGCCCCGCCCATTTTGGATGTGTCTGCCACAGTTAGTCTGGCGACTCCTTACTAACCTTATTCCCTTTTTTCCCCTTTAGCTGCTCCGGAAGCGAATTACGAACTTTTTCTGTGTGAAACCCCAAAATTTCTGCGAGTGCCCGCCCATGTGGGCGGGGCTTCGCATAGGTTAAGTGTGGCTTTTTATTTTCTTGTCCCATGCTCTACCATCCCCACCTTGCCGACCTCTCTAAGTCGTTCTTCAGGTCAAAACGAATTTCCGGACAGACAAACTTGCAAACAAACAAACAAACAACAAACAAACTTACAAACAAACAAATAAACGAAGCGAATCATATATATGGGGTGATTGCAGCCGTTCAAAGAGGTCGCATCCTACTCTGTCGTTTTTAGTCTTTTTTTATTATTTACCATCGTTTTGCAGCTCTTTAGGAGTACGAGATTGCTGGCTTGAAAGTCGACTATGCTTTGATGAGAGTTCTCGGGTTTTCAGAGCATTGACCTGACAACGTTCCCGTTCTCCTGCGTTTCTCTCTTTGTTTTTCGTTTTCTTCTGTTTTCAAATTTCATCCCCTCTTGATCTGCTATTTGGTGATTTACTCGTTTAGGAGGACATAAATTAGTTGTATTATAAAATTACCTCTCGGATCGCCCGGCTAACGCCGAGCTGTCCTAATTCTCTTTGGCTGACTTCGCTTTGCCAGACCACTTACTCTCGAATTACCTCTCGGCTCGCCCGGCATAATAGAAACGGAATTGTTTTCTCAGTTAATTGCTCATACTGCACTGTTTGGTCAAATCGTAATAGATGGAGCAATCCACGCACGAGCTCTGGTCCAGCTGCCACGCGAGCAGCTTGTGCAATGGCTCGGAGTGTACTTAGTGTTCTCATACATATAGTTGAGGGTATTATTACATCTTACTTCGTTACTTCATTATAGATTAGCCTGCAGTTTTACTAGCGGTTGTAACCACCTCTTGCTGCAAGCTCCTGCTAGCGTGCGCTAGCACCCCTTCACCGTACCTCGTTCACCCAATCTCTTCCCCTTACTTCCTCACTACACGTATTCACGGCCGGCTGAGCACGTGCAGAGGAAGAAAGCAGAGGGGAGAGGTCACTTGGTAGTCTCCACCAATCGGTTTCCGGTTTGTCTAGCGACCGTGTTTTCCTCCCACTAGTGTGTTTGAACCCAGCGTGGAGCATTTTGCAGACAGACAGACATATACACCTACATACATATACATACATACATACATACATACATGCATATATGCATACATACTTACATACATACTTACATACAAACCGACACACAAACTGATTTATAAAACAACTAGTCGGATTGCCCCGCTGACTACGAGCTCCCCTGCTTCTTTTTAGCTAAGTTGGCTTTGTCAGGCGCACTTCATAATGGAAACGGAATTTGATCATTCACTTAGCTGCTCATACCGCGCTGTTCTGATCGAATCGTAATAGATGGAGCGACCCACGCGCGAGTCTTGCCAGCTGCTTGTGCAATGGCTAGTGGTGTACTAAATAGTTGTCTTATATACAGTGCGTAACAGAAGTATGTGGACATCCCAAATTCTGACTCCATAAGAACAGGACCTTTACTATTCGATTCCTTGGATACGGAAACCTTAGTGTACTTTACTTCGCGGCATCTTGTGGGCGACTTCACATTTCTTTTATTAATGGAAAAAGTTTTCACCACTTTTGTTTGTACCACACAAACTTTGTACCAGAAGTACGTGGACACTTGAGAAAAACAAAAATACCTTTGAGATGAAACTCTAGTGGCTCTTATCTGATTTCGTACTAGTTTGGTCATTATCCGGCATCCTGAATGAGGTTTCTCATGGTTGTCTCGGGCATAGCGTCGCAAGCAGCAAATGTTGAAACCTTGAGGTGAATCGCATTGCACTACGGGCTGTTGTGAAAGACACGCTGAGCCGTGACGTCCTGACGTTTTTAAGAGGGTAACAGTCAGTAGAACTATTCAGACTCCCTACTTGCCGAGAAAAATGGTGATTAATCCTAAATAAGTATTGTGTTGATCAAAGAAACGCTTCAAAAAGTTTGTTGGCCTCAAGAGGTACCGTCTTGGGCTTTCTCTCCGGTCTAATGAGTGTGCTCTATAAACTAACGAGAAGATTGCTTCTAGGTTAAGCGCTAAGGAAGAATTGGCAAGATTAGAGTTTGTCCGTGAATATGCCACAACATCATCGCATAAGGTGGAGTCTGTGGAGAAACTGCCAGGTTAACAAGGGACAGTTTTCATTAACATTTTCTAGTTTGATAATCTTCCTGGATGGAAAAAGTTCAGTATTGACGCTCCGGATGGATTTCGCGACTTAGGAGTGGCCTTCGTAGGTAGCTCCTGATGCCCTCGGAGAGCAACTTTGGAGGGGATGTACGTGGTATGCTATTGCTTTGGAAAAAGATAAAATGGAGCCTCCTTCTCAGTCATGAAGCATAGAAAGTCGGGAATACGAATAGGTGGCCGACCCTCACAACCCTTTTTTGCGAAATGGGCAATGCAGGAAACATGTTCTACAGCGGTGAACGCGGCAGCAGCTGTCTCGTTTCCAGCGAAGGAAAGGCTCGTGAAAACGGTATTGATATGGGGAATTCGTCACACAGTTCTGCTGACTGTTATCATTTTGAAAACGGCAGAAGATCATGGCTCAGCTTGCCTTTCACAGCAGCCGACAGTGCAATACGGTTTGTCACGTCAACGCGGCAACATTTGCTGCTTGCGATGCCACACTTAAGACAGTCATGAGGAACCTCGTTAAGAATTTGCCGGATAAATTGATTAAACTAGTACAAAATCATATAAGAGCTACCAGACTTTTATCTCAAAGATATGTTTATTTATTCTTAAGTGTCCACGTACCTTTGGTACAAAGAAACTTTTCCCAGTAATAAAAAATATGAAGTCGCCCTCAGAGTGCTGCGATATAAAGTATACTATGGTTTCCATACCCGATGAATTGAATGGTGATGGTCTCATCCCGCCATAATCAAAGATGTTCCTATAGGGGGTGTTCACGTACTTTTGTTACGCAATGTAGTGAGGGTATCACAATCAAAACAACATCGTAGTTTGTTACCTTATTTGGATTGGTTTGCCTGCGGCTGTGTGCTCCTCCCTTGCTGCGTGCTCCTACTCAAGCCTCACTACGCACCCACTTCCTCTCACCGTACCCCTCCCCTCTGCTTCCTTCACCTACACATGCTCAGATCCGGCTGAGCGTGTGCATGGGAAGGAAGCAGAGGTGAGCGGTCACTCGGTGCTTCTATTCCTTCCACCGCACCCTGCCTAGCACGAGCACACGCCCAGCTGCCCCGCGAGCAGCTCGTGCAACGACTCGAAGTGTACCGAATGGTTGTCTTATATAGCGGAGGCTGTTATCACAGTCAAAGCATTCGATTGATACATCTGCACCGATCGGTTTCCGGTTTGTCTTTTGGTTGTATTCTCCTCCCACTAATTCAAATCGTGAAGCGTTTGCGGACATACATACATACAAACCGACACACAAACTTGCTGGTTCATAAAATGAAAGGATATCGGATTGAATCCTCTTTCCACATAGAACAAATGCAGTTCACTCTGTTCTCAGCGAGTGTACAGCGACAGTCTTCAACAGCCGAGCAGTTTAACGAGTTTGCCTGCGGTCTAGTCTCACAGACGAAGTCGGAGTGGATTGTTGGTCCCATATTGCTGTTCCTTCACCGTTGTTTGTAAATCAGTTGATGAGGGAGGAGTAGGAGGTAACGGTAACGTCAGTGTTGATGTCATGAGTCATATTGAGAGAATTCTATTGAGAGAATTCACCGGAACAATGAAATGAGGAGTGAATTCAAGTACATATAGTTTTTTTCCGTTCGAGTTGTGGAAGCGGTCAGTTATTCCAGCGCCAACGAAACACTTCTTAGATTTGGTGACGTTAGAACCGCAAATACACGGTAGAACAGCCGGAAAATAGAGATCATCGCGTTCAAAGCCTCCGCAGGAATCCATGAAACGTGTTCTGACCGGAAGTTGTTACCCGTTGTCAACGGGTAACAGGTCCTACTCCTATTACTACTCCTCAACAAGAGTCAGAGGGTTGATATTAGCACATTTTTTTCTCTCCGCATGACTTAATGGGCAACGTTTGGTATCTAATATTTTTAATATCGCAGGTCGCATGAAGTGTAGGGTTTCTTTTTCGTAACGTAGATAGAGACCTTTCCATTGTACCTTTATGTCGGCAATAAGAGATTTCTCATGTGTCACCCTTAAGCATGCTTCTAGTTTAACACGTTGACGATGGCAGACAATGGTGGCTGACAGCCAGTTTGCTCGTGGGACGATGACAGACAATGGTGTCTGCCACTGTATTGTTCTAATCTATGATGTACGAACAGCCAAGTTTGCTGCAAACGTATCCCTAGGGATAGCTGGTCCTTCTGAAACGAATACCACAGTCGCTTGGCACGGAACTGCCTGGCGCCGGCGCCGAAATACCATAAAGCACCAAATGCGCAGGAAACTTGTCTCCTGGGGAAGCTTGACCCCGTGAACACGAATATCTCACTCGCTTCTCACGAAACTGCCTGGCGCCGGCGCCAAAATATCATAGATCATCAAGTTTCTTGAAAACTTGTCCCAACCGATAGTTCGACCCCCTGAACAAGAATATCATATCCACTGAACGCGTTGACGACGTTTCCTTCAGTAGTTGACGACAGCTAGTTGGTCTTGTGGAACGGCGTCACCCAATGCTGTCCGACAGTTATTATATAACTCAAAATCTGCGCGATTGTTTCACTTTCTTTTCATAAAATTAGTTGAAGAACAAGCATTTTCGGGTCAAGGGGATGTGATACTGATCTTTAGGAGATAAACTGCCCCGGGCGACAACTTTTTAGTCAAATCTATCTTGCGAGGGGGAAGTTGGTAAAAGGCCTGATTTTGCAAGACTGGAGCAATAAAAACCAAATAATTTCAAAGACTGGTATATTCGCTTGCATTTCTCGATAGATTTTGATAATTTATTTGGGAATTACTGAGTTTCAATGTGGGGGAAATGTGTCGTCCCAGTCGCAAATCGTGGGAAAAATGGCTTGTCGTTAACGTGGTAAAAGAGTTGAGCTCCAACAACTCCGTGAGTCGTACCTGACATGTTTCTGCTTTTGCTCTTGATGAACAATGGTGTAATTACGCTCAAGGATGTTTACCTGTTGACGGACTCCCTCTTTGGAGGATAACGCAGCGAAGCATGTAATTATGATCAGGGCGGCCAAAATCTGTTCTCTCTGGGATCTATTGTGCGGTCCTGTGGGTCGGCATGAAAGTCTAAAGTAGAGCGTTCTACGCTTCGTGCGAAAAATACTCTCGCTAGTTTAATGCCTTGCACAAAGAGTTGAATCGGATTCTCGATCGTTACTGGAACGTACAGGAGGGTGTAAACTCTCGCACTGTGCCATATAAGAGTACCATGACTATGCATGGAGCTCCTATTGGTCGACATTCGGGATTGACTTGCCATGAGTCTAGAGCATGGTGAAGGTGCTGCTTTGACCGTTACCATTTCTGATTTTGTAGAGGGACGTTCTCTCAAACTGTAACGGTGATGTGGAGTTGTAGTCGAGGCAGAAGGTCTTTTTGCAGCGAACGGTTCACTGGTATCGCATTCTTGGCATATTCCGTCGTAGGTATCTCCACTGGTACCAAGAGGTTTACTGGTGGACGAATTGTTCTACTCGTTGCTGTGATAAATTTGACCTCTTTGACATTTCCATCAGTTATATTGCGCATTTTCGTGATCCTTCCAACTTCCAGTTGTTTCTAGGCAAAACAGGGTCGCTTATGAGTACAACATCGCCTAGTGCCGGTTTTTCTTTTTCACTTCTTCGGTTTGTCAAGGACGTTTTATGTTTTTCCCGCGGATTCGTTAGATACTGTTCTCAAATCGTAAAAACGTCCTGTCGCTTTACAGGAGGATCATCAAGCATCTTTAACCTTCTCACGCGTGCGTAATTCTCAGATTTCTTCTGGAATGCGGTAGTCAGGATCAACCTATGATGTCAGAGTCAGGCTATCAGATGGTAACGTAATGTTGTTATCCTTTTGTATGAAGTCAATCCCTAATGATCGTGAACCCCTCTGGTTTATCTTCTAATATGTCAGCGGTCTTGAGTCCAGACAAGCTTCGATTTCCGTTGAAGGAGTTTGAAGATCTTCTATCGATTGCTGGTTGGTACCTCAAACAGATTTGTTCAAGGCGTGCTTGACCGATTTTGTGAGCCATTCATACAATCCCCTTGCCATGAAGCGCAGGGATAATATGTTTCCATTGAATTTCCCTGTCCGACGTAGGTTTCAGTACGTCTTCATGAAACTGAGGCTAAGATTCGGGCGCTCAGCAAGAAGGTTGGGCATTGTTGCAAGTAAGTAATGGAGTCTGGGATCCTCTGCGAGCCATAAAGCAACGGAAAGCATTGATGAAATCTTCTGTACTCAATGCTGTGTACTATTTCGAGAAGGATCAAGCGTGTAGCTGTGCAGGTAAAGATACATTCTGAAGGTTTAGTCACTTCGTCAGTGTTCATTGATTGTGTTAAGTCAAAGAAATCGAGTCTGACGTGTGGTAACGGTCGACTTCGTGTCACTCGTCGCTGAGGCAGATCCGTCGATTCTGCGTAAGAGTACGGAGGGGTCGGCATTTAACACATTTCAGTACCATGTTTCTTACTTGCTGGCGCGAATAGGGTATCCAGTACTGTGATCTTATAATCGCCATAGGATGATCTATACCTTGATGGTATCGCTTATGTGTGTCCTGGATGATAAGCTCTGCCAGAGGGTTGGGAACTATTATAACAGGGGACTTCCCTTCCTTCTGTAGAAGAGTGTTACCCACTTGTCCTCGAAAGCGGCAGATGAGATTTTCTTTATCCAGATATGGGCGAGCGTATTCTCCGACGATCTGCTGTAGGTCTGAGTAAAAAGGGTGCTGTGATGGTTGTATTGCTGCGCCATCTAACGTTGTTAGGGCGTCTGGAATATTTGCCAATGATGGTACTTTTCGGATAATGGCCTAAAAACGAACGGTTGGCAATGCACGTAAAAGCTTCTTTATGAAGATTAGCACAACTGCTGTTACTCGCTTGGCTACTTGGAGTGGCTAAAGCGTTTCCAATCAATGAGAGGGGCAACATTGTCGTGTGGTGCAGCTCGCATAATAGTAATCATGACGTCCTCTTGTATTGTTGGAAGGTGACACAAGTCCAACGTGTTAGTTGGATAAGCTTGCGCTAAATCGTACACCGGAGATGACCACCGGTCAATTGGAATAAAAATTTTGGTCCCGGCCAATTGTGGTTATCTAACTGTTCTTTGGTCGGGCCTCTGATCCCCGCGTCTGCAGGGTGATCCGTAGATGTATTGAAATGCTACAGACACCTCGTGTTCTTTCAAAGACTCGATAATTTTCCGGATCTGTTCCAATCGATTTTCCACGAGTCTTCCTAAGTGCCCTTTTAAATCAGAGAATCTCATCCAATTCAATGCTATCTGGGAGTCTGAGATCAAAAATATTTGCATGGATCTTTTGGAAAAACAGTTTTTGAGTGCCTGTGAAATTGAACAAGGAAGGCTGGTGCTTAGCGTGAGCGCATTCGTCTCCAACTTAGGCATAGTGGTTTTCGATGGTATCAAAGGAAGTTTACACTTTGGCATCACTAGTATGGAGCTCTTCTCGTTGAAGATATAACATGATATTGCTGTGTCACTGGCATCAGCAAACACCGCTAAGTCGCATTCCTCTACCCTGGGCAGAAATGTCTCTTGAAGGAGCGTTGGAATCCGTCGGCACTCTCAATCATCGTCTGCTTTCTTCTTCTTCTTTCAGTTGCTATGGCAAATTCAGAGTCCCACTGCTACTTGCTTCCAGAGGAATCTGCTGGAATCGCTCCGCCTGAGTAAGTAGTGGCACCAAACATCGGAAGGGATCGTATACCGAAGCGATTTTACGAGCTTCTATGCATTCCATAAGAACCTCGCTTGTAGGCGAAAAGGGTTAGTAATTTTGTCTTCATCCGCGTTCCAAGTAATTTCCAAGGCTTTTTGTGTTGTACCTCTCGATCATACGTCTTCGAGCAGCTCTTCAGACAGCGAGAGGTCATTAGCGAGAAGTTCTCGCAGATTCTTCCTTAACTCTGCCTTGAAAATCTGCTTTGAGTCACTCGGTTTTTGAAGAATTTCTTGCTTGGAGTTCGTCGACTTGATCAATTATCTGCGTACAAGTTTTCACGGATCTCTTCTGCTATTGCGCCATCTTGTAGTATAGAGCGCAGATGGTGTTAGATCGTTCCAGCTAGCAGAAGAGGTGATACATCGAGTCCGAACGTTACGCGGGGAAATCGATGGGTTACGAATCTATTTTCATCAACTCGTTATCCTGTATCGCGCACCCAAAAGAATCTGGTAGCGTCCCGGTCAAGTTCATGTAAACGAACTTGACGAAATGCTTTCTCCACCCCAGATATAACCACATACGGAGGTACGCAATAGCATTTCGTAATGCTCCGGCAGTATTGAAGCGCCTCGATGGAGAACTTTATTTAAGGAGGGACAGTCCGTGAAATGAGATGATGGTCGAAAATTACTCGTGGTTTGGTGGTTTCCATATGCGGTGCAGTGACTGGCTAGTGTGGAATGTACTGCAGTACAGGACCTCCTTGCTGGCAATCATTAGGAATTTCTTCGATAACTCCTTCCCCTTTTTGTGTATCCATAGTTTTCTCACTCTTTTAAACATAGGTACCTGAGCGTAGTATAAGGAGTACGCTGCTGAGTCGTTTAAGTGTTATCGCATTGCATAATTCTCTTTGCAGGAGAAACGCACATAATACCCATCTTCGCGTCTCTCGGTAGTATTATATAAGAACTACAAGATTTTCTCATTTACTGCCTTCTTCTCTGCGTCCTTCGTGCCCATGAATTCGCAACTTCCCCACGACTTCATAGCCCAGTATTTGTCCGAGCGTTCCAGGTCTTCCTCAAGCTTTGTGAAACTATTCACCATTACCAATCCGGTCTGGTCTGCTGGTGTCAGGTGAACAGCCTTTACCGTACCTCTTAATATGGGTGTTGTGGAGAGTTGCATCGGATACTTGCGTCCTTCCATGTTCCAAATGTCTACCGTCGTAAGCTTACGGAGCGTAGTGCTTGGCTCTTCAGTGCCAAATGTACGCATTCGCAATTTTTGGGATGTCGTGTATGTGAGACAAATGCGTTGAGCCAAGGCCTCACTGATGAATGAACGTCCGCTCCAGTGTCGAACAGAATCTACGCCTTCCCATCTCTGCATAATGGTACTCCAAAGTCGCGCGCATCCCGTTGAAAGAAGCACACAAATCTCCTTCCTGCTTGTTCGGTTTGTGCTTTGAAGCAAAACAGTCTCTTCGGTATCCTTTGGGTAAGGTCGGGAGTGAGTGCTGTCCCTTGATATCTGGTCAGAGGATACCGGCTTGGCCCGCCAGAGTTACCCTGTCCGAGTTTCTCATTTCGAGATTTCGGCTCTTCAATTGCGTGGCGGTAGTGTCTATTTTCTTACCTGGTGTCCATTGCCTTGGATTGGCTTCATCCTTTCTCTTCGTGAGTCCTGGGCAGAGGTGTGGTGATGTCGAGTCCCATTACAATTCCTGCACCCATGACGGTGGAACTGTGTCGCATAGTGTCCCGGTTTCCCACAGTTGAAGCGTAGCTTTCGTTCCTGCATAAATATGCGGCATTCCGACGTTGTGTAATTTTGCAGGCATGAGAAAAACTTGTGATATGGTGACAAAAACATACACTGGGGATTCCTAGGGTGTAGTACTGAAGTATTTTGCTTTGATGTGGACATTCTTGGTCTCCACCATGTCGTTTATGCGTTCTTCCGTTGTAATGTGTTGGTCGACATCCCACAGCAAGTCCTGCATTTTCCAGTCGGTCTCGTTGATCTCTGAATTCCCAAAATTTAACGCAGAATTGGTATGGTGAACTTGCCAGGACCTTCCTTGCCAAACACGAGCCGTCCAGGTTTACTCCTTGCTCTAAGTGCGCCACTATGGGAATGATGGTCTCTAGAAGACGGCGTTGAGATTGAAATGAAAATTTTCCGCCTTTGCCTACTCTAAGCGTGTCTGGAAATGGTCAGTTGTTGTTGACGTATTCCCAGTTTCCCAGTCTCTTCTGTTACTGCTTAGCGCTTTATGAGTTCCCCTTTTAAAGAGTTTAACAAATAGTTCAATTTTTGTATTTTGTTAAGGGCTGATCATGCACATTCCACAAAAAAGGGTCCAAAAGTTCCTATATTCCAACACTTTTCCCGAGCAAGTAGGTATGGGAATTTAGGAACAATCGACTCACTTGCGTAAGTTTTTTCTTCCAATTGCAGCCATCTCAGGAACTAAAGCTTGTTTTGACACAAGGAAGTGGACCTAACTTAATGGTTTTTGTTTTCTATTTTTTATCCAGGATATTAATGAGCAAAAAGCGTGAGAGCTTCGTCTAGGGTAAGTTTATTGTTTCTTTTTTGTTCTTCGAGCTTATACATGAAGTTATAAAGTTTTTCCCCTCACATTGATGTTACATAGAAGAATTAGTGTTTTGGTTTCTGGGTGAGATTCTTTACCTGTTTTTTTTTCCTTCTCTGAGCTCAACTTGTAAACTATAAATGTTTGGGCAGCTGGAACAGTAAAGCCAATGAGAACTTAGATAAATTGAAACAACGAAAACAAAATAAACAAATAGAAGCTCACTTAGGAAATGAAGTTGCCCTTATCCCGAACCAGAAAAGGTGAGACTCTCTTCTGATAAGTATGTTGGATTTCCTTATAGATCAGAACTAGCTGTGCAAGTAATAGCGTTGTGGCGCACTCTGTCACCTACGACGATCGCGGCTATCACCGCGATCGCCACGATCGCCGCTGCTGTCGCGAAGTACGGTCGCTGCTCAAGGTTCCTGGTGTTGAAGTGGAGAGTGTTTCCTCGAACGATGGCCTCGAGCCTCGGTGTATTCGCTTTTATCACTTTTACCGGGCTCCTCATCAGGCTTCGCGCCTATTGAGTCGACGGTCGCAGTGACTAGACAGAGCATTGAGAACTAAGTTTAGAAAGCTTTGTAGCTTGAAGACTGATGCTTGCTTTCTCCTAGGTCCCGTAGTTGCCGTGATTCCGACCTGATTTCGAGTGGGCTTAGTATCAAAGCTTTCTAATATGCGTCTGAGAGCATTACAGTAGCGTGTCAACGAGCCTTTTTGAAGTTTTGAAGTTAGTGCGCTAGACATAGCGGAGAAAAAGGGGTTATCATTTGTTCATCTCTAGAACGGAAGGATAAAGAAGGAGATTGAAGTGTTGCTAGATGTGGCCCAAAGGAAATGTAAGTGTCGCTTGATGCCCAATCTAAATGTCAAAAGCGACAATGAGCGAAAAGCGTCGCGGGTTTTTCTTGAAGTTCCAAAACGTTTTGCGACAAAAGTCATAATTAAATCTTACCTCCTTAGTCGCACCCCGATCCTTCGTCGTAGAGCCGATGCACCATAAAAATGATGCAGAACTCAGAAGTGCCACGCGGTTTTCTTGCTGCTACAGACCACGAGCCAAACCAATATTATGAGGATCGACGCACACAAGAGCCAGATCACGATGAGCACAACCAACCGCACGAGCCTCAAAATTGCGTAATCAAATGAATATACAATGATAAGTCGAGTGAATTGCGAAACCAATAGGCAATGGTGACTCGTAGAATATCAAAATTCTGCGATGTAATGTATAATACTGCGAAGAGAAGTAAGAAGAGTGAACATTTACATACAAACAATCAATCATGCACAAGAGTCATAAACTAAGACAACGCTGAGTTCGATGAGCGACGGCCTCATGTTATATATGAGTCATCACTGAGCTTTTATGCAGAGGACGCTGGCGCGCCTTTAGAAGCTTGAGATGGAGACGATAAATGCGCCACCGGCCCCTTCTACCAATACAGCAGAAATTGACACTCCAAGAGTACTTAGTAGTACGAAGTAAACGAGCCTAAATTATACAGAAAGCCAATCAGGATTTCAGTGATCAGTTTTCATACCTTTGAACAGACATGGGCGGTTCAAAGAATCAACTTGATCAGCACCTTCCAGTCAGGAAAATTGAATCGTGATCGTGAATCATAACAAGTTGTCCAAGCAAGTGGAGGGCTGTCCAGGAATGGTGTAAGATTAAAGGCAGCGCCCTCCTTCATTGTTGTTCCCACGCCCTCTTCGGATGTCGTAGCTCACCCTATGAGGATGGTGGACGTACTAGTTTCGCAACTCAAAATTGCGTGAGAATAGCGGCTCCCGCTCGGGAAGAATCGACCACCCCGCCTACCTGGCGACCACTACGCCCAACTTCATAATTTAATTAATAAACCGTAATTCTGTACAAGGAGGTCCGCTGTGTAAATGAAAGACGGTTCCGTAATCACGTCCAAGAACATATACAAAGATATCGTTTTCATTTCATATGGCCACTTCGACATCCCATCTTTCCTGGTCACTTTTATGGCTAAATCTTGTGACAGTTGTAAGGTGTCCGGTCTAACCTCAGAAGACTCTGCCTCTAGATGGAAGACGTAAAAGTGGCATATATCAAGCGTCCTGATCAGGCATAACTTAGCATAGTACACTGTCTGTGGGTTGGATCCTCCTAACAATAATATAGTTTTAGGAGTCGATGAAGTGCAAGCAATGTGAACGATCATTTCGGAAAGCATCTGAGTTCCAGTTGCATCAGTACACACACGATCTCGAAAAGCATACTAGGAATAAAATGTTCCAGGTAAAACTGCTTACTAGACTGCAGACAATAAAAGCGACCAGTTCCATGGAATCGCTACCGGTGAATATAGATACCATGCTGCTTCTCCAGGAAGTGCCATTCCGGGCCAAGGTGTCACGCTAGTTGCGACTTACTGCTCAAGGAATTCTTTTTTGCATTAGGATTGGTCATATAATTCATAAAGTCATTGCTGTCACAATGGAAGAAAGACATGTCAGACCAGCCAAAAGGAGGTCCTCACTGTCTGATTCGTCTTTGGTCGCTAATGATGATTCCTTTATACCTGCTGAATGATTCTATGAGCAAATTTTCAGAAAGGTTCTGAGTGCAACACAGACATGCCGAACGTGTCTAGCCAAAGCAACTTATGGCGAATGTATTTGAAAAGATCAACCATTAAGTGATGGATACATGTCTCCCAGGTTCAGGGTCCGATTCCTTCATGAAGGCCATTTGTTGCAAATTTAAGGAAGCGCTCCACAGACCTCTCCCATTTTTTTGCGTATATTGTGTTGTGAAATAGTGTCTCATAAATTCTAATCATCTGAAAGAGTTACAGAAAGTTGGTAGCTGGCCTCTTCCTGACTGCCTTTATTTGCCTGAACATGTGAGGTAGATTATGGTGATCTAGTAAAAGATGAAGAAATCGAGATAAGAGGGATGTTATTTGCCATAAGGGAAGAGCAGCTCATTACAACTTGTTATGCCGCAGTTCTCTACCAATTTGAGTCAAAACGCATACGCTGTACCTGTGCATTGCCTCATACTTGCCTCGGTGCTTGAAGGAACATTTTGCGATTGCAAGATATGGGAATTCGCAACAGATGTTTAACCTATTTTCCAGTACTTCACAAGTGAGGGTGTGAAGGTAACCGCCAAAAAACGGTCTACATCAGACCCCAACTTTTCGAGCGCTGTGCAAGCATGAGGCGAAGAGTGTACGGATGCTCGGTTGAGTTCCCGTTTGGGGATATCACTTCTTCCATATTGTGTCACTTTCATCACTAGTTTTTCTATCATTTCTTGCCCTACGTAACTGCAAACTCTCATTATCACGACGACCCTGACAAAATGGGGGGGGGGGGTAGCACCAAGCAAATGGTCCATTACCACTCAGAAAGCTCGAAGAATCTTCCGCGCGGAAGCTGTTTCTGTAATTGATGCCCCGTGGCACGATCCTGGTACCCTATTTCCGGCCCCGAATTCATTTTTGTGGCTAGCATTATCTGGATTAGCCCTATATGGGAGTGGATAACGATCTCAGTGAGGTATAGTTGTGGAGCCGGACTGGCGATAAGTTGCGCCTTCTTCGCGAATGAGTTCCACATTTGCGATCTTTATATCGAAAAACCCCTACTGGTCAATTTTGAGACGAAGTTTTTTTTAATAGCATCTCGAGGAGGTAGAGCTGAATTGTGCTGGATTATGAATGGCTCATGAAGTATAGCATATAAAATTGCTCTCACATGCCATACACCCGAGTTACGTCCTTTGCCAGACGCGCAGGAACGCAAAGAGATGGGAATTCGGAAATGTATAAATTTGACCCGAAGCGGGACCGATCCACAAGGTACCGCCTCGTCGTTCCAGTGAGTGTCCATCGCGTTACCACAACAGCATCCCTGCACTGCAATTGACAGGATGCGGGTTACACTGAAGAAACTTCATCATTTCTTCACTGAATACCAGGTAAGATCTCAAAATTTTGACCCTACTTTGCGTTGTTCTGTGTGCGTAGTTGACTGACACCTCATTAACCATAC